ACACACACACACACACACACACACACACACACACACACACACACACAGATATTCATATGTAATCACATGCAAGAGTTGCTGAAAAAAAAGGCTCTAAACTGACCAGACCATCAAGATAAGCATTTACAAGGTGGCGTTAGAACGTTTTTATGCAAATGTTTTACATGGGGTGTCCAGTGTGCTGATGATGTGCATCCTATCATTTTCATGGTATTAGGGTGTAAACGAGATAATGAGCCACTCAACACAATGGAAATGAATTTTAAATTAGCCACCAGCTAATCGACATCTTTGAAGCTAATGGGATTTTCTCTTTCTCAATGTAATAGTACGCTGACTGATGGACAATTGAAATAGAGTAATTTCTCTGTCTGTGTTTGGCAGCAACACCAGCCACTGGAACTCAAAATTGCTTTACAGAGCATTTTCTTTCTCAAATCAAAGTCTTTCTGTCATGTTTAGCAGAGCTGAGAGTTGAAGAGAGGAAAAGCTCTGGTGCCGTCAATACCATTAAACTTTCATTCAGTGTGTTTATAGTGTCTTTGGAACATCATTAATAGGACGGCTCCTGTGTGTGTAGGGATGAGCAGACATATGGTTGCCAGTACCCCGCACAGCAAGACTCATAAATCACCAGTGACAGTGGATAATGAATGCAGGCCTATCAGAGAAGATTAGTTTGCCCTTCCCTATATCAGTTCTGTGAAGTGATGGTAGAAATTATATTTACAGTAAAAGTTGTGTTCTACATGAATTACGTGTCCAAGTATGAATAAGTTATGAAAGAAATATTGTGCAACATTATACAACATTTGGCCTCAAATCAAACAAAAATGCTTGTTTGAAATGTTCTCAGAAAATGTCTTTTCTTATAGAAATGTCGCTATGAGAGGTTAAGCTTTCATCCCACTCTGCATTTGTCCTGATTTTCTGCTTTCTCTACCTTGCCTTCATTACTTTTGCTGGTCAGCACATCTGGGCCCCACAGCCAGACAGATGGAAAGTAGATGAGGCCTGACTTTAGTCTGGGGACTAAGCCAGGTGTTCAAAACTTACTTCAGGAATATATTAGTACAATCAAGTCCTGAAAGA